CGATTTTACCGATTAATAAAAGAAAATATGATTGTAAGGCACTTTTTGTTTCTGTAATAGTTTGTTAAGATAAGAATCAAACTATTTATTAAAAATAAATATTCACTGAAAAAATCATGATATGTTTTTGTTGTTTTACCACTAACCTGGTCAGGCCTTGGGGTTGCTCACCTTTTCGTGGCAGTCTGAATTGCTTTCTGTAAAAGTCCCACAATGGAAATTTATACTCCTTACCAGTATAACACAAACAGCATCAAGATTTGCGAATGTCAAGAAACTACAACTAAGGTGCATAAGACTACGTATAGCTCAATTCATATGAAATCTTGTTGCAACATAATGTTCAAAACCAAGCCAGCAAAAGGAAAAAAAATGTCTAGAGGCTACAATACCAAAGTTTAGACACATCACGTTTTCTATATTAAGATACATATGTTCTGATAACACAAGGTTTAAATATTTGTTCTTAACACCACAATACCAAACCAGGACATGAAATTAAATACTAACAACACAAAGTCACACAAGGAGTTCAAAAACTCTGAAGACTAATTTTAAGAATCTAAATAATATTATAGGTGCCAAGAAAATTGCAGCTTGCAGTCACTAAAATCCAGGGAGTACCCCATACGACCTGTCAGTAAGAAAATATCAACAACATGTAGAGATTGCATAGGAGATGCGTCTTTATGGGAAATATCAGAAAAGTAAAGTTAATGGAATCAGAGAATCCACTCACCATATTGAAGATCAAACCAACACCAGCTTTTATAAAGCATAAATTTCATTCTTTAGAGTCACCAACACTCTACAGGTCATAAGGAATATTTTAAAGGAGGAAAGCAAAAATTGCAGGGAAATCTTCACAATTAAAATTTATGAAGTTACCACAACCTTGCACCATATTTGATTTGATCGCAAGAAAGCTATAAAAAATGAAAAACAAAAGGAAATCTTTTGAGCAAATAAATACCTTTTTTTGTGAACAAAAGCTGTATTGTGAGGTTAAGACCACAATCCCAACATCCTTCATCTTCATCATCTCCTGATAATTTCACTTTATGCAGTTTTGGTGTACTTACTTCTCCCCTAGAGAAAGTCATCATATATGGACATGCCATCACAATTACATCTTCCAAAGATGTGAATTCAAAGTTGCAATTATCCAAACAGAAGCTTCCAAGTCTCGGTAAACCTATAAGTTCCAAAGACTTCAGTTTGGTTAAAACAATGCCGCCCTTCAAGTTAGCCCCTTCTTTTGAGATGACTTGCTCCAACAGTTCACAGTTTTGTACTCTCATCTTTTTGAGAGAAACAAGGCTTAATGCCATGGAAAGAGTTAACAAGTATCTCAAGTTACCACAATTACAAATTTCTAGAGAGCAAAGCCAACTGAAATTTAAGATTTCTTGAGGTTTCTTGCTCCTTATTCCTATCAACCCAAGAAACTGCCAGAGTTTCAGATGTGTTACCACAGCATATCCAATCTACAAAATGCAATACTTTGCTAGTTATTACACAAGAAATCCAAATAAATTTGTAGAGGGAAAAATGGAAAAACAAAAAAACGAAACAGTAGCTTCTAGCTTGCATTTTATGACATGACTAACAAAGGGCTATCAACCTAACCCAAGCTTTTGTAAAGGCTAAGTTTAGTCATTAGTCTTCTTTAGTGAGTTGTCATCAGCACTTGAGGCACAACATTGCAGGAAAAAGTTTTCAAACTAAAAATAATCAATGGAGTTTACTGTTATCATCCACCATGTTTATTTGATCATGTCTGCAACAGGATAATTAAGTGGAAGGAAAGACAGCTTTAACAATGAAAAATATAAGTATATCTTTTGAATTAGTGGATACCTTTTCTGCAAACAACTGTTGTATTGTGGGGTTAAGGCCAGCTTCCCAACATTTTACACCTTCATCTT